TGGGAAGTCCTATGTACTACCTCGGCCTGCCTCCAGACTACAGGAGGGCAGTCAGGCCGAGGAGGCAGCTCTTGCCAATGCCGAAGTGTGCCAGGGGCTGGCGTGCAGCAGCCTGCTTGAGGCTGGTGTGGGAAACAGACTATTAATAGTCTGTTCCCGAAACCCTGGTTCGGTGCCTGAGTTCCAGGGCCGGTTGTTCTGATGAACGACCAAAAATGGCCCTTCGTTTCAGGCTAAAAATGCTGTAGCCATTTTTAGTCTGAAACGACACAGGCACAGGCCCTGGAATTTAGGCTTTCGGCCTGAACCGACAGGGGGCCTGTAAGCCCTGGATTTCAGGCTTTTGGCCTGAAATTCAGGCTTTCGGCCTGAAGTTCAGGCATTTAGCCTGAACGGACGCAGGCCTGCAAAATGGCCTGCTTGTGCACGCGAAGCATGTAACACCCCCCCCTCCTTATGAAGTCAAGCCGGGGCGAGGGCGAAGCCGTCGATCTGAAGGTGGAACCTGGACGCAGGCGCGGTGGGAGCCGAAGAAACCGGCTTGCCTTGCGTTCGTAGCGTGCGAGAACATCTGGAGCTGTTGCTTGAAGTTCCGCACGGGTTAACCAACGGTCAGCTCGGTGTGTGCAATATGCAAAATGCACTAAATACTCAGTTGGCTTGTTGCCAAAGCGTCGCTGGGAGATGATGTCGCCGACCTCCTGAAAACCATCCATAGAAGGTGGGTCTTGCGTACGTCTCCCGGGAAAGTCGTCATGATCCGCTGGCGTGTAGAGAGCCAGTTTGGAGCAATGAAAGACTGGGTAGACAGGCAAGTGGCTAGGCACCTGAATCGTGAACGAGGGTCCTTCGAGTGCGTCCCCAGCGGGCTCTATGATCGGCCAAGGCCCCATTCATTTCGGAAGGAGCTTGCGAGAGACGTCTTGCTCAAGGATGAATTCCGCTGATGAAACCCAGACGAGGTCCCGATGCGGAATGGACAAGGAAGACGATGACGATTTGCCTGTTGGCTCATGCGCTGCTGCGTCTTAGCCATCTGGTCGCGTGCCGTGACAAGAAGCTCTTGCATTCGACGCAAGAAAAGAAGATGGTCGTCGCTCTCGGCCGTGCGTGGAGTAATCGTGTCCAACGGTGACGTGACCGGCGAGCCGTGCTCSAACTCGAAGGGCGATATCCCAATAGCCGGGTGGATGAAAGAGTTGTAGGCTAACTTGACGTTCGACAGTCGCTCAACCCAGTCTTTCTGGTCGGGGCGGATGAGAGTGCGAAGGAGAACCTGTGCGGTCTGATGCGCCCTCTCCGTCTGGCCATCGGTCTGAGGGTGGCGAGTTGAACTGGGCTTGAGAGATGAGCCACATCGCTTGATGAGCGCCAACCAAAAATCGGACATGAACCGAGTGTCGCGGTCGCAGACGATCGCCTTGGGGTAACCCTTGGTGCGAATCCAACCGGCGTAAAGAACCTCGGCCAACTCCGGTGCCTTGGCATGATAGSGACAAGGCAAAAACATGGCGAACTTGGTGAGTCGGTCAACCACYGTGAGAATCCCATCCACTCCGGTCTTGTGCTTGGGGAACGGGCCGGTAATGTCCATGGCAATCGCTTCCCTTCGCCTCAACGGGACTGGCAATGGTCGTAACTCGCCCTACGGACGATGGTTGCGGGATTTGCAGCGTCGGCAAACCTCGCATGACTCGCAATAGCGCGTGACGTCGCCGAGAAGGCCGGGCCACCAAAATCGCTGGCGRAGTCGGCCAATCGTGCGATTGACTCCAAAATATCCAGTGGCGGGAGCGTCGTGGAACTCGCCAAGAAGCCGTGTATGCAAGTGAGGATCACTCGGTACGCAAAGAAGGTCCTTCCCCCGCGTGTGGACAAGCAAGTACCCCTCTTGGATCCGGTAGTGAGAAGGAGCCGGATTAGGAGAGGAGCAATTCGCGTACTTGTCGCGAAACTCGAGGTCGACTTGGTAGCCGCGGATGAAGCTGTTCCGCAAGTCGTCGTCAATCTCGAAGGTCGAGTAGACTGCGGCACAATGACCGGACGCCGTGAGAGAGCATCCGCAAAACGGTTYGACTTCCCGGGAATGTGATCGGGAAAGAAGTCGAAGTGGTCGATGAAAGCCATCCATCGAGCGATGGTGCTGTTGACGGTGTCTTGGGTCTTGTAGAAGACCAACGGATTGTTGTCTGTTACCCATCGAAATTGGCTTCGACCAAGGAGGAAGTGCCGCCACCKCTTGAGCGCGTGGACGAAGGCGAGGAGCTCCTTCTTGCGTGCATCGTCAATGGAATGCACGAGGGGCACTTTCTTGCTGAAGTACTCGACCGGGTGCCAATCCACACCATCATGTTGCTTGAGGACTGCACCAATGCCATAGCCTGACGCATCCGTAGTGACGCGCGTAGGCGCAAGCGGGTCGTATATCCGCAAGACCTCTGCAAACAATAGCGCGGCTTTGAGAGCGAAGAATGATCCTCGCGCCTCCTCTCCGAAGTCAAACGACCGATCCTCGCACTGAAGCTTGTTGAAGTGGGCCGCGATCTTGGAGTAGCCTTTGATGAAGTGTTGATAGTAGCCGGTAAGACCGAGGAACGAGCGGACATCCGTGACGTTCCMAGGCTCCGGCCACTCTTGGACGGCCTGAATCTTGTCCGATAGCGGACTGATGCCCTCCGGTGTGACAAAATGGCCCAAGTATTCCAGCTCTTGCCGAACAAATTCACACTTGTCACGGTTGGCCTTGTACTTGGCGTGGCGGAGCGTCTCCAACACTTGTCGAAGATGCCCCAGATGATCCTCCAATGACCGACTATAGACGAGAATATCGTCTAAGTAGACCAGCACGAACCGGTTCAACATTGCACGGAACTCATTGGTCATCGCCGCAGGAAGGTCGCCGGGGCGTTGGTGAGGCCAAAAGGCATGACCACCCACTCAAAATGCCCGTACTGCGTCTTGAACGCGGTCTTGTAACAATCGTTCGACTTGATCGAGATTTGATGATATCCCGATTTCAAATCCAACTTGGAAAAATACTTCGCACCGCCCAGTCGCTCGAGAAGATCGTCAATGCGAGGGAGAGGCCCCGCATTCTTGACGGTTTGTGCGTTGAGCTTGCGGTAGTCGATACACAATCGTAGATCCTTGTTCTTCTTCCTGACGAAGAGAACTGGTGCTCCGTATGGGGAGCTACTCGGGCGGATCCAGCCCTTGGCCAACAAATCATCGAGTTGTGTGCGGAGGACCTCAAGCTCCTCTTCGCTCATTCGATAGATGCAACCTTTCGGCGGCACAACACCGGCCTCAAGAATGATCTCGTGAGAGATCGGCCGACCCGACACCACACCGGTAGGTGACTCGAAGATGTCGGCGAACTCGTCCAGCAACCGTACCACACGGGGGTCCGAAGACAAGTCCGTGGGTGAAGAGTCGGCTACCGCGACGGTCCGTAGGAGCATAGGCCGATCTCCTCGGGCTGCTCGTAGGCACAAGTCGCCCGGAATGATTTGGCCATTACCACTTGGCACCGGATCGAAGAGTGCGGTAGAGGAACAGTACACGCCACTTCCGCGCCGAAGGCGTCGCGAACGCTAAGAGTCCGCCGATGGAAGTTGACCGTGTGATCCGCACTTGCAAGCCAAGGCATTCCCAGAATGATGTCGAAGTCCGTGTTGAGAATATCGAACGTGACCGGTTCGCATGCATGAGGTGCGAAGTAGACCGGTACGGCCTCGATGTAACGGTCGAGAATTTGCTGCGTCTTATCGTCCGCCAACTTGATCGCCGTCGGGTTTGCCTTCCTCCGAACCTATGCACCAAGGCCAGCCCTTTGCATAAAAGACTGGCTCATGAAGTTGCGAGACGCGCCGCTATCCAGCAAAGCGCTGCAGGACGCATGCCCAACCTGAATGCGGACATACATGAGCGGTGCATTGTTGTTATCGTACCGCTGCGTGCGAAACTCGCGGGCCACCTTGGTAGTATATACCAGGATGTCCCCCACTGCGACTTCATCATCCGTCGGCGAAGTTGGTGGTGCATAGAAGGAAAGGTAAGTGTGGAGATGAGCTCTAAGTGTTGCGCATTGCGGTCCCGACAAACAGCCTGTGGTCGGGAGAGGAAGCCATGCAAAGTCCTTAGACGTGAGCGGGTCCAATGCCTCTATATTGAACTTGAGCGCCGAATCCCGTGACGAACCACTTGAAGACGATATGTCGCTGTTGCCGGATGGAGAAGAAACCGCACACACTCCTTGTCCTTGAGCTTGAGTACGCAACGTTGGAACGAGCCGGGCAGCATTGTCCTCAAAGGAAAGTAGAAGCGGAGGACTGTCGACTTTCGCGTGCGCCTCGGAATGAAGGCTGGTTACTCACAAAGAAACCAGTTCCGAAGGTGCCGAGAGTGTCGTCGCGTCACTCTCGGCGGTGCTCAGTTTCCCTGTCTGCCCTTGCCTTTCAATGGGCAAACCTGCGTCTGTTGAAGATCGCTGTTGCACCAAAGGCAATAGTGGAATCTCTTGCGCGCCTTGTATGGGGACTCGGAGATGCCATACGGGTCCATGGGCCTGTCTGAGCTGCTGCACCGGGCCTAGGGCTAGAAACGGTGTGTGTCTTTGTCTTGCCGTATCCTCGGCCTCTGCCGGGGCGGCCAGATTCCCGGGCGGCTGCGAATCTGTCCCCTTCACTGGTAGACATAGCCTCGCTGGTTTTGTCTAACGGCGCTGCCGCTGCGACCACGGCCACTCTTGGCCGATGCTGGTCCCTGCTCGGGCCTGACGCAGATGAACGGAGGTTCTTGGCCTCCTTGTTCGTGATAATGATCTGCGCAGCCTTGTCGAACAATTCCGCCGTCGTTGTCAAGGTGTCCTCGAGATGAGTCAGGGCATTGCTTAATGTCGGACATGACCTTGAGATGAAGTAATGGCGGATGGCCTTGAAGCCCATCTGGATGTCTGGGACTGACGTCAAGCGTTGGTACTCGGCGATCCAGTCCGTACTCGGCAGCGTGCCTTGCTCGAAGACCATGAGCTTGTCCATGGCTTTGATCTCTGGCGGCTCCACCTGGAACCGCTTGTGCCACGCCGCCTTCAGATCATCCCAACTGATCTTGGTGTGCAAGTCGGACGCTACTACTCCCTACTTGGACAGGAGGTTGTCCAACCAAGCCTGTCACGCGCCCCCTGAGCGAGAGTACAAGTAGGCGTGATGCTTGTGTTCCTTGACGTTGGACAGCTGCAGCGTGAGCTCGAACTTGCGAAACCATGGAATCGGATCTGTCTTCATGGAATCGCAGAAGATCTCCTGCTCGTCAAACTTTGGAGTTGTCTCACGCGGCTCCGTACTCGGGGTTGTGGCGGTGGTACAGACCCGCTGTTGCAACTGTTGCGTCGCGGTGAGCTGTAACTGTGCGCCATCCTTGAGTGAGCCGACATGCATCTCCAATGCATTGAGGCGGTCGGCAGTATTGGAAGAGCCTGCGTCGGCGGCGGCGACTGGTCGCTGCTCCAACCGCTGAAAGCGGTCTTGGAGGTGAGCTAGCGATCTGTCGAGACCAAGGATCTCTGCCTGCTGTGTAATGCAGGTTGCGAGGAGATCCGTGAGATGCGAGAGGAGGAGCGCTATCTTGTTTGCGCTATCCTCCAACTGGCTATTCTCGGGCTCGGCGCGCCATTCTGCTGCCATGGTAAGTAACGCCCGCTCTCCGGGGAATATCTTCTCACGACGCTGTGCTCTTTCTTCATCGGCAGTCCTTGCTGCTGCCTCGTCATGCTGGCGCTGTTGTTCAACCGCCAGCAGACGTGCCTGCTCGGCATCCTCTGCCCTCTTCTTCGCTGCTGCGGCAGTGTCATCTGCCCGTTTCTTTGTTTCAGTACTCAAAGCCAACATGCGGGCCTGATAGGCCTCGTCTGTTTCTCTGGGCCTCTGGTCCATGACTGCTGTATGTGAACGCAACAGCATAGACCAGGCCGGGGCCTGCTGCTGTGGTATCCCTTGCTGCTGACGTGGCGCTGCTGACGTGTCCTGCTGACGTGGCCTGCTGACGTAGCCTGCTGACGTGGCCTGCTGACGTACTGATGTAGTCTTCTGAGGTGGCCTGCTGACGTGGTCTGCTGACGTGGCCTGCTGATGTGGCAACTCACCAATGCCGCCGCAGGGGGTACCCGAATACAAACAGAAACGGCAAGGCGAGAGATGGCAACAACATAGGTGGGGAGGGGTGGGTGGGATAATCGCCCAACTCGCACTTAGATAAGGAGCCACTAATCAAAACAGAAAAGTTCGATCTTTGCAAAAAAAAATCGAGAAAAAAATAAATAAAAAAAATCCCGATTTTTGCAAGTTCGGTAGGTCTCCCAATCTCCCTTGAAGTACGAAATGATCTCTGAAAGAGATTTTTTTTTTTTTTGACTTTAGACTGCCAATGATTTATAGAACTGAACGACAGTATCCTACAACTGCGAAAAAAATTCCGAACAGAAATGATACGTATTCGGATTTATTCTGATTCACAGTTTGAAAAATAATAACGCAGGAGGTATTTCCCGTACCGTTTTCAGAAAAACGAATTTCAGAGAGGAAAATATTCCGAATTTCTAAGTAACGGGAAATGCAACAGGAAATCGAAACTTTCGGAAAGAAAAATATTCCGGATTTTCAACAGCGAGATTTCGGATTTTCAGGAAGAAAAAACGAAAATAGGAATTTCAGATGTTGCGATATCGCGCTTTTCCACAGCAGAATAGCGAGAAAATAAAATCCAAGAGAAGAAAAAAATTTTGATTTTCGGTAGTGAGGTCAAAATCGTGATCTTGGGGTCTAACTAGTATGCTCTAATCAAGCAATAAAGACTAACTAGCTTGTTGATCCCCGCACGCGTGTCAGATCAGATCGTCCTGATTCACGTGCAAAAGCTCCGATACCAACTGTTACATGCACAGATATGCAATGTACGTAATAACCGAGGAACTGCAATGTGATGAAAAGGACTGAATGGACAATACAGTGCGAGTAGAATCTCGACAGA